TCATCCTGAAAAAGAGAACAGAAATTGTTGTAAATATAATTCTAGCTGAAATGGTATGTAAATGTGAAAGAGCAATTTGTATAACTGTTTTGTTAGGATACTATGTAAAATGTATTGCTTAACAATTGAATTAGATATATGCATGTTATTGTTAGAAATATACAAACAATACAGCAAGTTAAAATTGATTGTGTATAAAATAAATACAGGAAAAACACATGTTACGATGACAATACGATAATATATTACACAGACTATAAGTTCGTAATGTACTGTTAGAAAGAATTTTCTAATCGAACAAAAGATTTTTAAAAACGCACAGAACACGTTAGCTCATTTTCACATTGAGCAATAAATTTAATACGATCGGAATAAATTTATCTAAAATTAATGTCGTACATAAATTGTAAATGTGACATGCCAATTGAAAATATCAAAATGTAAATTGCAAAAGTATTCAAAATACATTATCCTAATCTAGGATCATAGTTGTTAATATTTTACAATTACACATGAGCATAAATTTTAAAATTTATTTTGGATCATTCATTTTTACATATTTCTTCCACTATGTATCTGAATCAGAACTGAATTCACGATTATAATTATAATTTTATTAAGAATATGCTTTTTGACCTTAACTTATGTAATTTAAAAAATTTTTAAACCAGTTACAATAATAATTACATTAATTCTGATCAAAATTTGCATTATATCATAAAATAGAGAATCGTTCCTTAAATAAACTTGGTATATACATATAATTTTTGTATATTGTAAAAAGAATATATTGGCACTTAATATAGTAAATTGTGTTATATTATGTAATTGCACAAATATTTCAGCTGAAGTGACAAAAATATTTTCATATAAATGCATTAAAACATAGACAATATTTTAATGAACTTTTTGTATTATTATTTATAAATTTTTACGAATAATTATAAAAAATTATAAATCTATCATGTTTAAAAGATATCTTTTAACTATTGTACGAAGTCCTTTGTATTATTTATTAGTTCCACTGGCTGACGCTATCATTTGTTGATCCCTCTGACTTTCTACTATATTGTCATCTGTAGTTCCCACATTTTCTTGTCTACTATTGTCTATATGAATAATAAAAAAATCAGCATAATTTGAATCTTAATTTTTTGTTATTCTCTCTAGGAGTCATGTAAATTAATATCAAAACTTATGGTAATGTTTTATAGCATACTACTAATACAATGATACTGAACAAATTACATATTTATATTATTTCAATCACACTATATAATTACCTTGCTCTTCTACTTCTGCTGCATCCACATTGTTCTGTGCCGTATCATCTTTGTTTTCTTGTTTCGGACTTGCTTCAGCTGAAAGGCATGTAAACTAAATTACTACTATAAAATAAGACAGTAAAAATGTTTCTGAAAGGTTTTAATTACAGTTCATTGTACAAATAAACCATTATTAGTAACATTTTAGTAGTTCTTGAAATTAGTTTATCCCTCACCAATTAGTAAATATAAATTATATAATAATTGCACATAATACTCTATTCAATCCAGATCTTCTGATTGAAAATATAAATTCACATTGAATAATTCTTGGTATATTTGCGTCATAATGTCTTACACATACACAAGAAAATATATTAATTTGATAAAGACTATATAAAATTAAAATCTGGTACAATATACTTAAAATTTCTAATATTTATATATCTTTTATTTTTTAGTATATTGATACAAATACATAGAGTAGAATCTATGATTAATCTTTTAAATTTTATACCAGTCTATCAAATTTATATATTAAATGAATTCAAAGAGTGAAGCACAATTAGATCAGATGCAAAAAAAATAAACTTTTGAACGTGTTTTCGATATCAAGAGGCGGAAAGTAGAAAAGTAGTTAACAACGATAATGGCGTGTAAATAAGAGATCATTAGTTTTCAGTAGAGAAATTTACGATCGTCGGTGTTTCATTGATGATATTGTACTGTGTTATCCATGTTGTGCGAAATGATATTCCTGTACATGTTAAATAAATAAGCAGTGCAGTGTGCTCGTAAAATGTGTTATCTGCTTTGTGTAAACAGAAATTTGATGGAAGAAGCACAGAAAATACAACAACTTGGTACAGAGTTACTGTAGGAATCTAATGGTTTACTTTTTGGATAATTTTCTTTTCCCTTGAGATAAGAGAAAAGTATCACTACCTTTCAGCATTGTAACTGAGAGGCGAGGACTTAGGCGCACAGCGCCAGGTGGATCTCTTGGAAGAATTGGAATTCCATGGTACTTCAAACCACGCTGACCAGCTACAGATACTCTTACAGCCGACTCCGGAACAGAACCCAATTGAGTCTTGTTATTGGCTGTTCTTGTAGCTAAATTGACAAACCCCCAGAATATCTTGTAATGTTAAGTACATTAACGATATGAAGAAAACGAAAGAAAATGGCATTAATGTTTCTACTAATACCCCAAATATGTTAGAATTTCTTTGGACATGATTGTTGAAGAAGCTGTTGTAATTTGGCCTACTGAGACAAGTTACTAACTTGAAAACATGATATCAAATTAGCAACTCCGATTAGAAGAAATACTATTTCTTACGTGATCCAATCTATAACTGCAAGCAACTTATCTTAAAATCAATTTTGATTTACACCTTTGTAAAAATATATTGTTCAAAATATATAAAAATATAAAGTAAAAACAAATGAATATGCAACTTACACTGTTGAGTGAATTCGGAATTCTTCTCAGACGGTTTGCTACATGTAAGTTTAACTTTATCAAGTTCATCCTTCAACTGAAAAAGATATTAAGATATTAAAGATAATATTAAAAAGAACTGATTGAAATACGTCAAATATAATCATGTATTAATTAATAGTGGTTGTACCTGATCTATTTCTTCTTGTAACTTCTTATTTTCATCCCGTTTTTCATCTAACTGTGTATTAAAATTATCTTTCTCTGATTTCAATGTTTCTAATGTTGAATGTAAAGAATCTAATTTAGTTTTGCATGTATTAGAAGTCTCCTCCAATTCGTCATTTTTCTTCTTCAAATATGTTTGTTGTTCCAAAAGTACATGAAGTGACTCCACCTCTTTTTCTGTGTGCTTATACCTTTTTTCCAAATTTCCACGTAACGTGACACACTGATCTCTTTCTTCAGCACTAAAACAACATAAAAACCATAAATATAAAAATACTTCTGTCCTCGTTTTTATAAACATTAATATCATGTACCATGATACAAATAAACATTTCTCTAATGTGTGGCAAATAAAAATTATCAAAATAAAAATAAATTGTAATTGTAGCATGTTTACCGAATAACTGGCATACTTCAAGTAATTAAAATTGTTTATATATTATACAATGCGGTCAATGTTTTTATAAATAAGTGCAAACTCCATTAAAATTTACGTTAAAATAAATGCCACACGATACGTAAATAACATCGTAATATATTATGAATAATACCTGATCTTAAGTTGTTCATTCAATTCATCAATTTGCCTAACTAGTTCAATATTTTCAGAAGATAAAGTCCACCAGCTGCAAATTAACATTAAACAAGTGACAAGAAGTCCTCCGACAAGGAGGGGAGGACATCGGCCTCCTCCGACTCTCATACTGTCAATTCCCATTCCTTATTTATTGTATCCTGTATTTATAAGAAAACACACATGTGTTCTGTTATCTTTCATGAAAAGAAAAAAATCAATTTTTGTCATGTGTCACTCGCACTCTATTTGAATGAAGATTATAAGATCGCGGTGTATACAGGTTTGATCAACTGTCACGGTACATTACTCACGATCAATGCAACAAAATAAAATAAACAGCACTGTTTTTAAATCCTTCCCAAGGGCACGGATTCTCTTTAAACGATCTTCACGTGATCTTAACGAAATAAAACGTGTAACGTGTCGTGGGCGTATTCTGATATACACTACCGGTATTGACAACGACGTGAACGCATTTTATCACGGTAAATATTAAATTGCGTTCCGCCTTGGCGTGTCAGGATCCCTAGTGCGTGTTAAACAATTACGTTTCTTCGTAGGTAGCCGCGACATTAGCGTAAAAACGGTTTAAAAATCAATGCGGTACATTCATCGTCCTGGGACAACTAACAGTGGCGACTGGTGACTAACCACGGCAGTCACCCACACACCGACACACACCCACATGCATTAGAACGCGTATACGTATACATATAACCTGACAGGACCGCATCCATACAGTTTGAATCGACACGTATTCATTAAAGAGCTGGCAGAGGACTACATAGTAAAATGCAACCTGCACGAAAATACTAACTTCTTATATTTATCCTAACAAATTTGTACTTTTCACGATATCAAACTGTTGAAAGATGGATTTTCCATAAACTGCATACATTGCCTCGTAAATTGCATATAGTAATGTTTGCAGGCTGAACAGTTTTACCGGTTGCCAATTATGAGACACATATACGTTTATTCTGCGATAAGTCGAAATAATCTCTTTGCGATAGCATGTCCTTCGATACTATTTGACTTTCGAGAACGCTTATTTTCCATGGGAAGCAAATTAGCGAGAACTAAACAGCCATCTTGCGGAAATTTGAAAATAAATGTTTTTTTTACCGTTTCAATTAGATGTAGAGTACATTGAGACTGTGAATAGAGGGGTACGTCTATGAAGTAATACAATACACATAAAAGTCACATTTATTCTGCTCCATTTACGAGCAGACGATATACATTTATTTAACACTGTACCATTGAAGAGAATTAATAGTTGAATAGAGTAAAAAGTATTCTGATGGTGTAGTGAACCCAAACGACAAGAGAGACATGTATTTAGAAACTCGACGTTCAATCCGTACCGTGACACGATTCACCGAATGGTAACTGATCTCAGGAAACAATGGGAAATTCGTTTGGAACTGATTCGTCGTAATGAATAACACAATGTAGACCGTAGAGGCATGCGGGTCGTAAACTTGTAAGTCTTGCCAGTAGGCGAGGTAACCAACGTATACAATGCTCAAGTTTGTTCGCTTATGATTTATGCAGAAGATATAAAACAAATCAGATTTATACGTATCGTAAAAACTAATGTTTCCCATGATATGTATAATTAAAAATAACCCGTGAATTCCTTTTACACGAAACGCATCCTATTAATGAATCCACCTGAATTTTTAATTAACGCGATACAATCTCACAATGAAATGCGAATATTCGTCGATTATGATGTCAGCGTTAAAGGTTGGTTAATTTTAGGTAAACGCAAATTCGATATTTGCAATTCATACTCACTCGACCGTTCACTATTGCGCGATCTTACGACTGTACTATGCACATCTTCGATAACCAATCGATTCCAATCATAAACGAACGCCCCATCCTGTATACATAAATTATCATCTACATTGTTATGGTTTCTTTTCTCTTTTCACGTGCAGCGACCTTGTCTGCGCGCGAACTTAAATAAAATATATGAGAAATTTAATATATGTATATATAATATATGTATATGTATAAGCCAGCACTGTTCAGCGATCGGCCCCCTCGCACACCTGTTCCCCTTTCCGATTGTTCACCTTGCGCATCGGTGTCCTCGTCGGTGTACGCGTTATCGTGTTTGTTTTTCGAAGGAAAAGACCGGGAGTATAATCAGACAGACTGAAGTGAATGATTTTACAAAGAAATTAGGAAGAACTGATACTCTTCTTTTACTGCTTATATATCTTTCGTTATCTCGCGCAAACATGCACGTCCGTTTTTCTTTCTATCTTACTGATTCTTCAAAATCATCCACTGAAATTTTCCTGTTATCTGTTTTGCTAGGCAATATGTTAACGACCACAACAGTGCGACAGTCCACCCCACTCTAGTCATTCTAAGTTTGACATTTGCTTCATTCAAGTGGGGCAGATAAATAATTCGACCTTTACACCGCAGGTCTCTTCTTTCGAAAGACGGGATACTATCTCTGGTGAGAATATTTTATTAAATAAACAAAATATCTATTGTAACAATTATTTACGTAGTAGTTTTAATTAATGACAGGAAAATAGAATAAAATAAGTGGAAGAAAACTAATTTAACGAATTAGTTAAAGAAAGTTTTTAATAGCTACTGTTGCCATTAGTTCAAGTATTAAAGTAATAATTTGCCAGGTTGTTTACATAGTTTTTGTAATTTTCAAATATTAATACTTTCGATCAGAGATAGTATAATTAAATCTGTGACCTTTGATGTCCAAGGTGCTACGCTTCGTAGATCCTTAACACTAGAGCTACCGAATGGGCAAAAATGATTCATGATTTATTCTTTTACAATCATCGAAAAGATAGCAGTTAAAAGACATCATTCAATTAAAATCTCTATAACTGTAGTCTTAGAGTTCCCATAAAAAAATTTGAAAACCAATTTGACTGCTCGATAGTTCTAGCGTTAACGTCGCGTGGTTTCTCTAATGATTCAGGAGTGGGAGAACCGCAAAGAGCACGCTAGCCCTCGTGTGGATAGCGCTGATGTAAGCGGTAGAATTCGCCAGCGGCCATATTGTGTGTTTACGTTCACGTTATGTAAAATCGGGGAAGAAGAATCGCCGATGGCACGGGTAGCTTCGTATCAATGATCGGAACGGTCACTCGACAAGCGAAAGGATTCGTCGGCCGATTCCTCTTCCCTTACAATGAAGTGCTCCAGACGATCGTCGACACGTGACATCATTGTAATGCAGAACATGTGTCCAAACAGCCGCTTTTACTTCTTAAATCCGGCTGCACATATGTTCGCTACTGATACCAAACATCGGAGCTAGACATCGAAAAATAATCTATCGCTGCAAACGTCGAACGTTGAGTGTTTCGCATACTCGCGTCTACACACCTAATTTTATCATCTAGAATGATCGAACGACTACGCTGTTTTGCCGAATAGGCGTCGATAGAACGAATTTCGGTTAACTGAGTCGTTAGGTCACTTAATTATCCCCATCTGCGATAACACCTGGCAGTCATACTCTCAATTGTCCTCAGGAAGCGTCTGTAATAGGATCAAAGTGGTTCTCGTGTTACGTAATTAACCACACTTGTCTCATTTTTGTACAACAGAATACAGAGCACGAGTATTCAAGTATCTTTATTCGCTATTGTTTACACAGAAATATGCAATTTGATTGTTCGAGAGACGAATGTTTTTTTTTTCTTACACGACTTCGTTGGAGTCACGTCAATTTGTACTGTGCTATTCTCAAAACAGCGTAATCGCCAGGTAATAAGTTTTTTAACGTTTCGAATGAGAAAATCAGGTGGTAAAAGTCACGTGCCGCGAAGCACGTGGTCGCTAACATTGGGAAACACGTAGAAACGTTGCACTTTCCATGAAAAATATATTCGGCCAGAGGTACACTGTATTCTTTATGACACTCTCTGCGAAAAATCGGTAACTTTCCATCTCTTTTTTTTTTCATATTTGAAGATATATATGTTATGTTCATTCTTTTTCTACAATATATGGATAGGGGTAGAAAGAAAATCTCGAAGGTACCGTTTTTCTCTCTCTACAATATAGATACATTCATACTGGCTACTATGAGTAAGTTTTACGTCGATCCTTGCGTACATGAATATTGTCTTCTCGAACTGTCCGGTACTTTCTCGGTCGGTACGATGTTTGCACATTGATCACATTCGTTTGCGATCGATTTGAAGGTTTCCTCGTTTCTTTTCCATGTCTTCAAATGATTGATTGATGTTCTCGATTCTTCGTTCTTCAACGGCAATTTAAAATCTTCTCTTCGTTCTAACATTAACTAAATGGGAACTTTTACAGTCACAAAACAATATCCGATCTAGGAAGAAATGATCCGACGCCTGAACCAAGATGCCTTATGCTGATTGAGAACGTAATCAAGATGATATTGCACTGACCAATCCAAACATTAACCTGCATCGATAAAGGGAACGATTCGTTCTTTGTTGAACAGCGCGTTATTTTCTTTTTTTTTCCGTTTATTTCAATCGCAGACCATACACAAAGTTCAATACCTTTAGAAACAATAATCATTAACTATACAATGTACGATTTCGTTCTTAGAAAAGTACAGTAATTTATGTGTGTAGCGTGATTTTGATTATTAGCGAAAATCGTTTTACAACGTTATATCCAACGTAAATTCATATCAAGGTATAAAATTCGAATTAGCGAATATTGATCTTCTTAAACGATACCTGGGTCTGCGATCAGGCACACTAATTTTGTAGCTGTGGTTTTAAACATTTAAGTATATCCGACACGTTTCAAATGATTTATTTACAAAATTCGGTAAATCTTCAGAAGATATGTACGAGAAGATAATTTCGTTTTTCCTTTCTTTCAGTTATCTCTCTCCAAAAATCGAGGCTTCGTTTCACGAAACTTAAAATTATTCTTCTCGTATGCACCGTCTCAATTTTACCCTATTATACTTTAGTACCTTATCGGAAAAGATCAATTACCTACGAATCTTTATTTTCTTTTTATTACTAAAAAACAGTTTTAAAATTGATCGCAGTCACTCGTACGTCGAGACCGCGAAATTTCGTCGAAAAATACAAACTGTATATTATTCAGTACCGTCGTAGGTGAGTGCAGTGTAATTTGATCCGTCTTATGGCGCTAACACGCTGCATTCACAGAGAAACTTTGCCGCTGACGTCGGCAAATTTTTGCGGCAGCGTTTCTTTCTTATTATTCTTTTTTTTTCGTTTTTTTTAAATTTTCTCTACTGCATACAATTCACTTTTTATACGTTTGATTTTTCACGTATGTCCATGCAAATTGTAAGCGTACTAAGGCTTTTTCTTTTTTAAAGTTCTAATCACGTAGGAAAAGAGTCTATAATAAAATCGTGGTCCGATATTGTGTTACTTTTTTTTCTCCAATGTTTCATCACAGAACGCGGTTTTGTAACTTAAGATATATAAATTCTAGTGAAACCAATCATATCGATTCATTTGAACATTTGTATGTGGTAAGAGAACAAAAGTCTTAATTATAAGACTTCTTTGCTCGTTCAATTAAGTAAATCAGAGAGAAGCTAACCGAGTGTGTTTAATACTTGCTTTCGTTACTGCCAAGGGTTATATTTATTTTATAGAAATGTAACGCGAAATTCGAATGGAAAGAAATGAACTACAATATTACAAATTTGTTATTATGATGAAAACCCTTCAGTATGTTCTATTCATTTCTATTTACATTATTCTAGACAAATTTTAATTGATATTGTATTGTATGATCTTTGTTCTCTTAAAACAATTAGTAATGAATAACAAACAAAAACTTTCTATACTAAAATTAAAGAGAACCTAAAACGCGTGAAAAGAAATTTTTCTCATCATAATTATCAATGTACCCAAATTAATTAATTGTTCTTTTTCTTTTATACGTGTCTGATATATGTGCAGAAGACAGATTATGACACCCTTATATAAATGTTAAAATTAAATTTGTACCTTTTCTTTCTGTCTTTTAATTTTAGTATAGTTACAGTTTTAGAGTTTCTTTTATCTATCGTGTAAGAACATGTTTTTATGAGTAACACTATGATGAAATAACGAGTATTTCATGTAAGATGTTTTTCTATATTTATTAATAGATTCTTTTAATATATTCGGATATTGCATGAAAAGTGTACATGCTTTAAGAATTACTTTACAAAGAACAGAATATCGTATTTCATGTACGTACAGTTCACAATATTTTATCTGCACAGTATTATAATAATTATGGATGAATGTTCCAGTATGGTCTAGTGTCATTGCCTGTCAACCCAATTTACAAAACAATATGAAAGAACTAATAACTTTTATCAATTATCTGTACAAACGATTTTCATACTCAATAGATCAAGTGTCTTATTACATTGTTAATATTACATATTTAGAGAATTAATTTCATACCGATATATATTGAGCATATGTTCAATGCACAGTTAAATTACTGTTAAAATTGTACACTAAATTAATGCAAAGTTATTAGTTCTCAAAATCGTTTAATCTTTTTAACACATTTTGAATATTCCAGTCCATAAATGGTATTGTTAATATAAATTTTAACATAATATATTAAGCATTTAAAATGCTGTGTTAATGCTTAAGCTACAAGCAAACAACAAAAAAAAGTGTGTATCCATAATGTAAAAGTAAAATGTGCGCTTAAATTATTGCATTTCAATAAAACCTTAAGCGACCAAGATAATTTTCGTAAATTTATTTATAGCTTCTTCAACCTCGGGTTAAAAAGCTACTAAATGGTTTAATTAAAATATATTATGCTCAACACAAATAAAGATGTATGCTTTCTTAATGCATTAATGCATGATTGTTTTATTTTGTCTATATAAATTCTTTCTATGTTTCCTATATAAATTCTTAGCATCTTAAAAGATTAAACTTTATATTAGACATAATATATTATAATGATATACTATTCGAATAATTATTTCGTTGCCATCTAAAAATATTCTTAACTTTCTTCAAATTTTGTATTCTCTAAAATATCAACGCCATTGAAATCAAGTTACAATTTTTTCACGAACAATATGTGCAATTCTACTAACTTATATTCCTTTCTTCCAGGTTCTTTTTTTTACAAAAGGTCTCTGCTTTGTTATTGAAAGCAATAACAAAATTGCAAAGGTAAATTTGCATCGCATCCATTCAAAGAGAATTTTACACTACGTGCTTCTTTCTCTTATTCATTCCTTGTTTTCTTTGCGATTGGCAGTAACAAAAGTAACCAGATTAAAGTGTAGCACCGATGTTCTATACAGAAAAAAATGGTATAATCAAATCATCTGCTCCATACACTTGCATCATATTATAAGTTTTCAAGCAGTTTCTTATAAGCCAAATTTTCAACAAATATTTACAATGAATATTCAAATATAGCTTGAAGTTTGCTAGATTTTCAAAATTCGTTAAAAATTTTATATGTAGATCAATTTAAAACAAAGTTACGCAAAACTTTTAGCGAGAGTTTCGTAAAAATGAAATAGAAATTCTGTTTCACCGTTTTATATCAATTTCTATTAGTATTTCAATTCGTTTTAATAGAAAACAATAATGAAGGTGGTCAATATTTGGGCATGATAGGTGATGCAAGTGTAGCCATCATCGATATGTTACCACATTCATAGAAAGCAGTATAAACATGAAAAAACTTGTTTAACTCCAAAATAACCACCTTACCATTTATTAACAGTACTCGTGTTATCTTTACAGAAAAATGTCGCGCGTTCGCGAGGGAATAGGAGAATAACGGTGAGTCAGAAAACGCGGTACAGAAAGATCTTGTACTCGTACAGAACACTTAAAATACTTCTTTTTTTTTTAAACCCTTATGTTTATACCTCATTCTAGCTGTGGACACTTCTTCTATCGCTCTTTATCGTGCATTCACTTCTTTCATTTACTCGCATATATCACGTCGCTTATTCGAACGATGCACTGTTTTTCATTATCGTTGTTAGGCGTGTGTACCAGCGGAAATTAAATAATGAGTAAAACTTTTGTTCTCTCGAGGAATGAGAAAACAGGCTCACGAGAAGTTATCACTTGGCGTCTATTTTCATTTTCTTCGGAGGAGAGTTTGTCTGTGAGCGTATGTCCGAACCAGATCTCTTCATCTGAGGATTACTCTTCACAGCGGTGGTGGGATCTATCGATAACATATTAGTTAACCGTTTAAATATAATCTATTTTTTAATTATTTTCTATTAAAAATTATATAATTTTACTAAGATGATATAGGAATCTTTAATAAAACTCAATGTATAAAATATTAATAGTATAAGAGGTAAAAAAATGTACACTAACCTTGCAACCACCTCACTTGGGTTGCTGGTCCATATCCTTTATCATTTCGTGCTGCTATTCTAAATATTATGGCCGGTTTTGTAGTAGTATCAACGTGAGCGGAACTAAGAGAACTATTTGTCACCGAACAAGAATTATTCGAACCGCAATAGACTCTAATGAAGGCTAACTGATTTGGAGTCGACAGAATTGTTCTTGGTTCCCCGTCATTATTCAACGCGGTACTAGCACTCCGCACAGCTAAATAAACAGAATATTCCAAAATAGGTCCAACGTTGCTAGACGGTGGTTCCCAAGAAATTTGAGCACCCTCCGCAGATTTGGAAATTTTTATAGCGCTAGGTGCTCCAGGGTATCCCGGAAGACACGTTTTGAATGCAGATACCTTAAGATAAAATGAAATTTCATACTTATCATGTAGATTTCCATAGCACTTGTAATCACTTTATTTACCTCACTCCAAGCACTTCGCCCGCAACTATTCACAGCGGCAACTCTGAACTTATAAGCCGTTCCAGGTTCTAAAGCAACCTTGGTTCTTCCCTTGAAAATATCCATACTCAACGATTTTGCAGGAATATCTAAATCTATTGGTTCACCATCAAGTAAATAATAATGTTGTACAGTAAAACTCGTCCCTTTGATTATACCAACATCGTACCACTCTGCTTCTTTCTTTTCCTCTTCAGTCTATGAATATATATTAAAGAATTTACATTATAATTCACGTGACGATACAGCAAGAAATATACAAAAATATAAGTTTACCTGCTCTGTTTTTATCTTTACTGGTTGTTCGGCTGAACCTAAGGCAGCTGTAGCCAATGTAGTCAATGCTGTGGAATCATCCCCACTTTCTGATCTGCTGTCATTTAGTTTATCCTGCTTCAAATTATCTTTCTTAATAGGTTCCTCCTTCGCTTCGATTTTGATCGGGGTCATTGGTTTTTGAACATCCATCTCTTTCTCGAGAGATGCAACGCTATTCGCAGATGATATTTGTGGTTCAGTTATTTTCTCTTGTTCCATTGGCTCATCGGATTGTTCTAACTTTACTTGTATATCTGGTGTTATAATAGGGGTTGCCATTGGCATATTTACATCGGCGGGAGTCATTGAAGGGTCTGTGGCCATGGATTCGTCATTATCTTCTAATTTTTCTATCGGAGAATTTTCTTCGGGCAGATCCATCGCTGGCTCAGCATCTTCATCTTTACATTTTACCGCGTCTTGGCTATCTTCTAGTGAAAACTGTGATACACTATCTTCGGGTGATAAATGTTCAGGAGCTGGCGACTTTTCATAGTCTTTTATGTCATTATTTTCAATTTGTTCGGCTTCATCATGCTCTGACGGCTCTATGGCGTCTGGCATAGATGTCTCTTCCGACGGAGCTTCCACGGGTTCTGGCGTGTCATCGTTTTCAGTTTTAATATGCGTTTCCTCGGATGATGAATTAGCTACAGATTGCATGTCATTTTCATTTGTCGGTTCCGGATCATTTGTAGCTTCTACAGGTATTTCACTTTCATCCGGTTGTGAGTCAACTGAGGGTTCCGGTTCTGAAGGCAGTTCCTCCGCAGTACTAGTTGAAACAGGGATTTCAGGTATAGCCTCTGAGGTTTCTGAATGTTTCACTTCACTCTCTTCTATATGAACATCATCGGTAGTTGTAGCACCAATATCTTCTTCCATTTCTGCAGACTCTACGGCAGGTGTCTCTTCTTGATCTTCAGTCGCGGGATCTTCGTCTAAATCCATTTTCTCGTTCTCTTCATCTTCAGATAAGAGAATATCTGCTGGGCCATCCATCTGAGGAATCACGAAGTCACCATTGCCGACAACTTGCATTGTCTCGCCAGCTCCCATCTGAGATACCAAAGCAGCCGCTGTGGTAGCTTCGTTACCATTGCAGCTATTGTCTATTTTACCATCTCCTGCGCCACTATCATCCGTAGCCACCATGAAAGACAAACTACCAGAAGGCTCTTGAACTGGATCTATTAAACCTGCTTCTGCAGCTAACGCAGCCAATGCAGCGTCAGTTGTAGCAGGACCATCAGTTGTAGATGCCAATGTTGCTGATGGTTGTTTTTGTGATGGAACAAATAACATTTTACTAGTATCTATCGCATCCGACGCGCTGGAAGTAGTTACCACTGAGCTACTTGTGGGCATCAAGGTAACCGTTTTCGCACCTATTCCTCCGGACATTTGTAGTGTCACAGGTTTTCCAGACACCGTGACAGATTCCGGTGTTTTCTGTATTTGTGGCACAGTAACAATCTGATTCTTTCCAGTGTTGAAAATAGCTTGAGGGTTTCCCTTTGTAGCAATCGTTACAGTCTTTGGTACACCACCCTGGCCTGGAACTGTAATAGTAATAGGCTTCCCGGCAGTTCCACCTCCCATTGCTCCAGACGAAACGACGATCATTTTCACTCCTTGCTGATTTGTTACATGATTAGTAGCTGACAAAGGTAAAACATTTACAGGTGTGGTAATGTTACTTGTTTGCCCGTTACCAGCTTGAGACGTTGTGACAGCCTGTACAGCTCTTAAACCGGAACCTGTTGTTACTACGATTATTTGATTACGACCAACTAGACCACCGTTGTTTCCAGGTTTTGTAATCATTATCGTCTGTTTGCCGCTGATGTTTTGACCTTTGCTCATGGCAACAATACTAGATGTTTTCATGGTTGTAAGTATTTTCGATCCTGCTACTGTATTAGGATTTACTAATCTCAATATCGTTGGCCCTTGGTTTAGAGGTTTCGCACCTGTTGCTTGAACAGTCTTACCAGGAATCAGACTGACTTTAGGCATACTTGTTACCATTCCTTGCCCAGTTTTAAGAAGATGCACAATCTGAGGTTGACCAGATATATTCTGACCTGGCTTCTGAAGGATTATTTGTTTACTCTGTTGTGGAGTCGCAGTTCTTAGCACTGTTGCTCCAGGTGCGGCGAAACGTATTTGTTGACCAGGTTGAGCATTTTTCATTCTAATCGTATTAGCTGTAGTTTGTGGAAGGATTGGAACATTATTCATACTTATTTTTGGAGTTGCAGCAGCCGCTGCGGCCAAAGCAGCAATACCTGACATAGCAGCTGGTGTTTGACCTGCTACCGTTGTGTTAGAAACTGGAGTCTGTTCTGTCGTCGTCGGTGCTGAAGTAACTATTGGTGAACGAATTCGAATGAGATTCCCAGCTACTCTTGGCGCCATTGGACTAGCTGGTTTCGTTACAGCTTGTGATGGTACTGGTTTCTGAACCGGGCTTTGTACAGTTGATTGTATTCGTACGGGAGTTTGTGCTACGGATGGTCGAGCAGAAGTTGAAGTCGATGGAAGAGCAGCAACGGTAGTAATGGGCGGAGATGTAACAGGAACAGTTGCAGGTGTAACCACTGCTGGTGCAGTAGTAGGCGCGGTGCTGGTTTGTGTACTGACTGTAGGAAAGGTGCCGGTCGTAGCTGGAGGCATATCGTATTTCTGAATTTGCAGTATATAATATTGAGCCGATGGTGTTGCTGTCCAACTAACTTCCAATGTTTGAGTAGAAGCTCTCACTAATTGCACTCTGGATGGAGCAGGAGGTTTACTAACTTCGAGGTACCATAAATCTTTGCAACAAACCTAGACAGATACATCACATTACAAAATAGATAAAACTATCCTTACATTGACAAGTAATTGTAAGAACTAACAATAACCTGATTGTTCCAAGCTTTGCGATATCCGTCTCTACCGGACCATATATAAAGTCTGCTATGCACTCCAACTGCACAGTGACCAGCACGAGCACGAGGAACATTATCTTCCAAAGTATCAAGCGTTAATTCCTCCCATGTCAGTGTTTCTAAAATAATATTAATATTATTTTACTAGTTCACATAGACCATATTATTTACACAAACTTACCTAAATTTAGACAAGCCAATGTACTTGTACATTTCCACTCTTTCTCATGGGTTGCCACCTGAACATCTTCAACAAGTGGTACCCATCCTCCAAAAACATACATTCGATGACCGATTAAAGTGGCAGTGTGAAGAGAACGTGGTAATGGAGTAGGTCCATGTACCACTGGTTTATTCCAAGTCATCGTATCAATATCAAGAAACCATAAATCACCCAATCGACAACCACTCATACCACCATAGATGACCAAACTAGTTTTCCCCGTGTTTCGATCAGTATAAGCTACTCCACTATGAGACTCTCTGGGTGGTGGTTCAGGTCCATAAGTATTTGGTATATCCCAAGCTGTTCCTCCATCAAGGAACAGCTCAAGGGTATACAGTTCATTTAAATATTTTGGTATATGATTCTTAGGATCATCACTTGCATTAGATAAACCTCCAAAAACAAAGACCTTATTACCAATAAGGGTAAAACTATGTCCTAATCTGGGACGTGGTACAAGACCTTGCTTGGGTGGTTTTGGTCTTAATCTTTTCCATTCCCATCTGCTTGCTTGAAGTTCATAAAGCTCATTTGAGTATTTTCCATATTCTATCATACCACCAAAAACCAAAATCCGAGTACCATCAACAACAAGTCCAAAGGCTGCACAACCAGGTGGAATATCACCTTTTGTCAATGGTACAAACCATTGGTTAGTTGCTGTAAAAAAACATGGATATCATATAAAAAAGGAAATTAGACACTTTTATGTATATCTAATCTATTTAAATCTGTTCATATGAGTTACTTTTAATTGACAAATTGGCTGATGTTCTTGAAAACTTTAAAAAAAATATCAAATTCCTTGTATAATACGGTTTATATTATACTCGTTATACTCTTGAATTATTGTAACATCAACTAAATTAAGATACATAACTATATATTATTGTTATGTGACATACATTTACATATAGAACACAGGGTATTATTTAAGAAAACTTTTTAAAACTAAATGCAAAGTGCGCGTCGAAATACGCATGCGTACGAATGTTCTAACGAAACGAAAAAGAAATGCAGCGGGCATCCATGATACGGAAGGGCTGTAAAAACGTAAAACGAAAGAGTGGGAGGAGAAATAGGAACGGAAGGAAAAAAGACAAGGAAAGGTGAAGCGTGAACGTGGAACGACGGGAAACACAACGTATCAGTGGTGGGGCATAGAGGACAGTAATGGCCGCTCCCGTAGAGTATACACATGAAAAATGACAGATCGCGCCAATTCAACATATGAAACTATTTTGACGGCTGTCATATGAAACTGGAAAATCCATAGATTGTGGTACAATCGGAATACATAAAACGCATAATAATAAAACATTTCGCATGAACGATATTCGCGTTTCTTCGGTGATCCGGCCGGTGACCGTCTTGACAACGTATGTCGCCATCTTGGATCGCGGGAATCATCAAGAATGGCGCGCACAAAAGACGCACAGCAGCGATGCTACTTACCCGTGTTATAGACATGAAGCTCGTCAACAATGCCCTCGTTTCCACCGCCGAAAACAACCATGAGGTCCTTAATAGCGACCGCCCTGTGTCCATGTCTGGGTCTCGGCTGGGGCCCGGTCGTATTTGTGATCCGCTTCCACTTTAGTATGGGTGCCGCCATGATGACCGTTGATCACATCATTTGTTCATACCGCGCGACTACGAACCACCGAGTTACCCCTGGAGCAGTAGGGCGCCCGATGGTTTCGGAGATAGTGCGCCCTTCCTTATCTTGGTACCTCGATACCTTCACTATTCACAATTCGTATGCCCCCTATTTGAATAAACTCGAAAGTTCACACACTTGACGAAAATGTACTACTCTCGATTTTCTCAACACCGTCGATATCCGAACTTTTCGATTATAACCTTCCCTTATCGGTTGTATTTCACGAATCGCCTCTCCGTTACTGTCCAAACAAATGGTTCATGGAAACGTGACGCACAGCGATAATTTCCCGATAAGAGTTTTAAATTACGAAAATTCCATACGAATCAGGAGACGTCTGTAACGCAACACGTATGTACACTGGCGATCAGAATACTTTTCCACCCCACTCCAACTACCAAGAGTCACCAGCGAAAATTCAAGCTCTTTCTTATGTTGTGATATTCAATGGTCAGTTCGCAGCGCCATGCTTGTAGGTGGTAGAGCCGGTAATTAATTTGTTCTCTTGATGTAGGCACTTACGTATAGTTCATTCGTTCTATGGATTATTCGCACGGATAAAAAAGAGGATAAATTATATAAACAATTTTTACGAAAGAATTACTGAACTCTGGAAATATGTCAAATTGTTATCATAAAATGAATACATTATAATAAATATTTTGAAAACTGCAGCGCATTCTATTTGTTTTATGCAGCAGAGATTATATATATAATGTTATACTAAATTTTTTTAAATGCTATTTTTATTATACTATTTTATGAAAGTATGTTTCTTAATTGTCTGCGATTTTTTATTAATTTCTCGTGATTAATTAAAAAAATAAATAATACTTTTACCGCAAAAGGTTCCTTAAATCTTGAAAAAAAAGGAATTGAAATTTCGCACAAAAAGAATTAGGTATCATCGTTGCATTTCAAATCTAGTTTTGCGAACGAGGCATTGAATATGACAATGCAAGAAAGTACTTTTTAGTTTCAGGCTAACCGATGGAGGGGTGGGAAAAGTAGAGTATTGTCACAGAGAACGTAAGCACGCGTGGCGCTAGTGAAGCGGAGCTACAGCTTATAAAGATTGTGTAACGCCATATAGAGGTAAAGCTTTATCTTTTATAAAGATAGACAAACCCGCCTCCATTTTTGCAATTTCTCTAAAGCGCTATCTATCAATGAACGAATCAAGAAACAAAAAAAAAATGAATTACTTTCTAATTGTACCTATAGTAGATATAATATAACTATTTCCATTTTATCAACAAAACATTAGAATGTACTAAAAAAAAATTATTCCAAAAAATTTATATCTATCACATTAAGTGAATTTAACTTTTCCAGTCACAGGAGGGCGCTTCGGAATTAATTGTTTGACGAGAAAGTGTAGCTCATTTCGTTGTCTATGATAGTGTTACAAATAAATAGTACAACTTCATTAACAAAAAACATTACAAATGATGTAGGTGAATGAAAACAATGTCTTTTTGCATTATGAAAATAAATTCTCTTGACAGTATTGTAAATATCATGAAAGTAGTTTTATCTAAATTTACAAGAGAACGACTCTACCTGTAAACTTTATGCTCTGTGGGCTACCCCATTAGCGCCACTTAAATACTTTTCATTAAAAAACTACTTGCTGTCTATTTGACTTAAGATCGAAACAAAATACATACAACAAAAATGGCGGCGTCTATAGTCACATGACAGAATTCTCATTGGTCTATTTTATGCCGGCCAAGATCATGCCTGCTTACAATAAGTCAGCAAAAACCCTGAATGACTGCATAATTTTTATAAATGAAGTGACACATTAAACATTTGACTTTCAAATGACGTAACTGAAAGCTCAGCATTTTTTAGTCCCTTTTTAATTTTTTAAGTCGTTATTCATACAAAACATAAAGGAAAATCGAAAGTTTTTAGAACTGTTAAAAACCTTTTTTCTAGTGTATACTGCAGCTGGATACTATGTTTCTAAGAAAGTCATCTAGTTCTATTATGTTTTGCTTCGATCCTAAATTGAAAAGACAACAGAAACTACAAATTTGTTCAATAAAAGACTTGAATTTCACTTGTGGAAGTGGTTTATGTCAGTATTCCGGCTGTTTATTATCTGTTCTACTTAAGATTAGAGCAAAACACAACAAAACCACGTGACCTTCACAGGAACGTGTCATAAAATAAGGCATACAGTGAACGAAGGGGGTGCATCAAAATTATATTCACGATAGCTTCTATTTTACATTAATCTTAAATAATAATTGTTTTATTACAGAAAGACACGAGTCCAGATCTTTTTAAATATATTACACGAATCTATGAATATTTAACGTCCTGTTTCCATTAAAAAAATGAAAGTCATCTACAGTATTTTTTAAAACTTGTTACACACAAGTACGGCCCTGCTTAATGCAAAAGGGGCCAATGGGAGATACATCACGTGACCACCCGCGCCGCCATTGTTGTTGTGTTTTGCTCTAATCTTAAGTTGAATAGACAATATATATTTTTCACGTTGCACAATCATCATTACAATCAAACAGGGGCCCGATCATATGCTGGAGCGGAGTCTAATCTACTAATATTCTTCGCGACTGTTTTAGATGGAACGCAGCTTCGCATCCCTTTCGGAACTTCCGTCAAACTGACGAAAAACGGCGCGATCGAGGATTTCATTACGTACTGATAATTACTTTACGAATTACACGAATTCTCATGTACGGACGGCTCGGTCTAACGTGACGAACATTCAACAAGAGGTTTTTAGTACTTGCCGAAAAAGCTGTTACAATCAGTAGTTTGACGGCACGCACAAGAGGCCTCCGCAATCTTCGTCCACCATTGAACACAACTTGCGTCGGTAACGACCGCATATGTTACCAACACACATCAACCTAGGGATTTTTGTAAATTTGTTCAACAAATGAACATCCTGTACCTTGAATATTCAACTGTTACTTATGGGGGCTTTATTACGATCATATGATTCTTTTGAAGTTGTAATTACAGTGTAATAATTTAACTGTTTTTTTAGGTTAATATAAGGATACGCATGGGCACAATGTAATTGTTCAGGAATATTGTGCAAGACTTGAATATGAACTATGTAAATTATTGTTATTCTATATTTCTATAGTATAGACTTTTTATTACCTTATAAATATTTTAATGATAATGAAGTAGTAAAATTAAAGACTCTATTTTATGTAGTGAATATGTATGACTGAAAGTAATAAAAATTCTTCGTTATTGTCTCCCTACTCGTGAACTATAAGATGTAGGGATTAGGAAGCGAGTTTATAGCGTAAAAGAGAAGGCAGTTCCATCTAGCTTTATATAAGCTAAAACTCTAAATAGTGTTACATAACCTTTACACACTGTGGACTTGTTTCACTAGCGCCATGTGAATCCTCCTTTTAACAAGCACTATATTCAAGGAAGATCAGTGACGGAACAGTAGCATTTGTATGACGCTGGTTCGCGTCATTGAACCTTGAGTTATAGATGGGATGTCGGTTTACCTCTCAGAAAGTGAGAGTTGGTTGGACAAGTATTCAGGAGATTAAGATTTTAATATTCGTAAAGCACATCTTGATATTGTATGAATTATAATTAAATAAATATAATCCTGTGATATTTCTTATGTATCAATAGCATTTTCCCACTCTTGTTTACGCGATTTGGAATGTCAAAAACAACCAATCAGAGTTGGAAAAAGCAGTCGGAACAAATTTGCATTTTTATTATCAAGGAAAACACGTTTCGCAGCGTTTTAGTTGTGAATAACATTTATTTAAATATGCATAAGATAAATTGTACAAATAAAAAATGTTTAAAGTAAACATATCAAATTATAATTCTAGTATCTACTGAAATTCACTTGTATACATGCTTGTTTTTAAAATATACTTTATATTGTTTCTGTATGAAGTAGTTACAATACAAACATAGTAAAATGCATCACTTATTTTCCTTGGTACATGACTGAAGAAAACATTCTTTAATTTTCGGATTTACATGTTTATGCTTCATGATATTTACAATACTTTTTGGAATGATATAATACCTTTTACATCTAATACAGTTAACAAATAGAAACATTGGTACTGTATGTATAATGCATTTCTGTGTTTAGTATTTAAATGATGATAGAATTTCATTGCTAAGTTAATGAATATAAAAACAGCAGAAAATTATCGAAATTGTACAGGACTTATCCTTAAACCAATGCATTCCTTACCAACTAATGCAACTTCACAGACTTTACACACAGTCTCCTTAAACTGTGGTAAATAACTTGCTCCACATAGTGGACACTTGACTTCTGGTTTACCTTTATAAATTGGAACAAAGGTGCTGGCACATAATGAGAATGGATTATGTTCATCATACACTAGTTGATGTTCATCCACTGGATTCTTGTCACACGCCTGAAAAATGAATTAAACCAATTACAATCACCTGTTTAAACAATGTACATATAAAAATACATACCTGCAATATTTTTCTGACTTGCTGTGCCAAGTCAGGTTTAGGTCCTAATTCAAGCAATCTTCTACCAAAGGAAGCAGCAGTTTTGTAGTTCTTTAACTTGAAGAACATATTCACAGCTATCCTCAAAGTAAGAATTTGATGTACAGGTTGTAAACTACAGTGTGTAAAGTATGCTGCCATTTCACAAATGCGTTTTTGTTCAGCTAGAGTAGCCTTAGGCAGATTTTTTCTTTCTGTTTCCATCTTCAATCCTAAAATATATTCTCTACAAATCTGAATCAATTGCTGTGCTTCTGCAATATCTTGTCTTGTATCCACAACCAATAACGGTACACTAAGTAAAATTGCTTGGAATTTTTCTATAGCTTCTGGGAACTTTCCACCAGTGGTCAAGTGGTAACATACTTGTAATCTCTGAACTAAATCCGTAAGATGCAATCCTACTGCGGGCAGAGCGCTTTTAGGATTTGTTTCCTTCCAATTTCTTTGAGGATATGCATATAATGAAGGTATACTGGGTAACGTATCAAACGCTGTTCGAGCACGAGCATAAGTACTCATAAAGAGATTCTCATAAGAGGCGAATTCAACAACGCCAACTTGGTCATTCAATAGTCTAAATGCGGTTTCAAATGATCCAGCTAGTACATGGTCCACAGCTAATTGAGAATTATTCACCCAATGTTGCGTTGGTGGTACTCCTTTCGTGGGTGGTGAATAATAGCCATCTTCAGTTGCAGTGGTTGCAGCTTCAAGTTCTGGCGGTAAATCTACGTCTTCAACGTCCCATCCAGCACTTTCTTCTCCTTCGGGAGGCTGTTCTGTTTCTCCACCTTCTTCATCATCTATTCCCAATTCTTCATCATTACCCCATCCTTCAACAGGTACGGCACTATCGTCTTCTGGAGCTAAAGCAGCAGCCACTTGGCTCTTTCCACGCGACAACATTGCACCCTCGAAGAAACCTTTAGAAACTGTTAGCAGTGGCCAGTTATTTTCAGCTTGTTGAATGGGTACAGGTGGTTGCAGGTACACTGCTCCCTTTTCTAGAGCAGAAAGTTCTTCGCTCATAGAACTGTATTGAGCATCGTCTTCTGGAGATGAAATACCATGAACCTTCTCAGTTACATAAGCCAAAGATGCTTGACCAGAATTCTGAAATACAAGAAAGTAAAATTAACATTATATAAGAATAAATTAAATCGTGATTAGCAATTGTGAAAATGCATACCCTTAAAATTTTTGCACGCTCATAAACATCACCAAGTAACAGACTACCCTGATATTGACCAGAGACATCCTTTCTAATTTCTGCGATTTTTATCATTTTACGTAATTTTTCTAAGTTACCAGTAATGAGATAGAGGAATGATAATTTTTCAAAATTCTTTGTTCTCTGATAACACATTTCTACAACTTGATGATTTCCTTGTAGCAAGGCTGCTTGAGCCAAACTTTCCCAACAAGTCTTCTGATCAAGAGATCTTGCTGCTTCTAGAGCCACTTCAATATTTCCACATTCAAGAGCAAGTCCGAATCTAGTCTTTTCATCTTTCACAAAGTGCAAAGCAACTTCAGGATAACCCTTCTGTTGCAGATAGGCAATTATAGACTGACCAACAAGATTTGCATTTCGAACCATATGCAGTACTTCTTCATATTTCCTATTAATTAAAGCTAATTTGAATTTATATTCTGTTGGGTCTATTCTAAGAATTCGTGGTCTACATTCTCTGTCTAGACAATAAACTTGATTGCCTTTAACTCTAGTTACATATATTGGTAAGTCTAATGTGCGGATGATGCCGTGATCACCATTGTTAATTGCGTATTTAATGTGATTACTAGTAGTATAGATAAATACTCCAGAATCATCCCAAGCTCCAGATTTAACTCGAGTATTTTCATGAACAGAGCACAAAGACTCTAATCGTCTGTTACAGATATTGACTGTATGTTTCGCAAGTAGAGCAACATGGGACATGTCACTAGACCAAACGACGTATCTGCATTTAGAAATTTTTACTTCAGCTAATGTTCTTTTCTGCTGAACATCAAAAAGCGTTACTTGGTCAGCGTCACGTAGAAGAAGCATTCCTGTGCCAGCATAGAATATTTCGTCGCAGTTTTGAATTTGTACCTTCTTGGTAAATTCGTTCTTCAAATTCTTAATGACCAACTGTAATAGAAAAACAGATTGATTACATTTAATTCTCTTTTACCTATTTTACATTAAATATCTTTTAAATACATACTGAATAGACTCTGTCCAATACAGCAAAACGATTCCTTGCAACCCAAATAGCAGTGACTCCAGAATCTCGTTTTGTATCAGCCTCAGTAACTGAATCACCCTCGCGAGGTATCATACATAAATCGTAAGTACTGTTTTCAACATTATGGGGTGACCTTGTACAGATTAAAACAGCATTCTCTGCTTGATTATATGACATACTGTAAGGACGAGTCTTTCCACCTCCACGAAACTGCATAACAGAAGTATCTTTAGAGGTAGTGAAGTCCAATTTTCTAAGGAAACGATCTTTCACATAATAAAGAACATTTCCATGCACAGCATATGCTGGACGTTCTCTCTCAAGTTTGAAAATGATCATTCCAGAATCATGACCAGCAGCAAAGAGATTTAAAGTAGGATGAGCAGCAAGGACCCAGAATCTTTCATGTTCTCTTCTAAATGTGTGCAAACAACTACGTTTTGTCATATCCCAAACACGTATACTCTTGTCTTCTGAATTTGAAAGAATTAAATCTTGTCTAGGATGGAACAAGACACAGGAAACATTGTTGTAATGGCCACGACATGTGTCTACTTCCCATGCTTTTGCGTCATTCAGTCTCCACATTTTAATTTGTCGATCATCAGCTCCAGAAACAATCAAAGGTAATGTAGGATGGAAAGCTGCCCAATTGACACCACGGTCATGACCTTCAAGCACGTGCTTTACTACAGCATCAGCTTGACCAAATAGATCAGTTGCTCCAGGATTTTTTAAATGATCTTCTAAGCCTCCTGGACCTGGAGCTACATTTTTCTTTCTTAGGCCAGAAATGTCCCATACCCTAACTGTTTGGTCCAAAGAAGCAGATACTATTATGTCTTCTGTAGGGTGGAATTGTGCACACATTACATAATGATTATGTCCTGTTAATACACAAATGCATGTACGACTTTGCCAGTTCCAAATACGGATTGTCTGATCATCAGATGCACTTAGAATCCATGGATATTCTTGGTGGAATACTATTGTTCTGATGTAATCTAAATGTCCTAATAAAGTGAAGATGCATCTTCGTTGTTTATAATTCCATACTTTAATTTTATAATCATCACCACCAGATACAAACAAAGGCTGTTGATTGTGGAAACAGATTCCACGAACAGGTCCATCATGTTCATCAAATTTGTCTAACAGAGTACACATACGATAATCCCATAATTGTATGACTCCATTGTGCAAACTATAAAAAGATATGTATATTATTGCTCTATAATATTCTTTGATTCAATATTTTTAAATTTGTCATTATTACTTGGTAAAACAAAACAGAAATTAATTTTATTTTTATGATATGTAAGTTGGAATGTATATATATTAAAAAGATAATAAATATGAAGTTTATAATTTACCTTGCAAGAACCCAGGGACGTTTTGGATGAAAAGAAAGCCCTTTCACACGAGCAGACTTTGTTTCAAATTTCGTCAACATCTTTTATTACGTGTCAAATAAAATAATGTGTTTAAATACACATACCTTCTTCCTAACCTTTGAAAATTTGACACGACTGAAGACACGTCACTATTGCCATGAAACACACTATCTCAATAGATATTCACGTGCAGTTTGGAGGATACTGCGCTAAAACGATAATTTCAGATTTCGGTGTATATGAGTATAATTTGATATTTATTGTCATAAAATGTATTTTCATAAATTGTGTTATATTAATTTACAAATTCTTTATACAATTTTCATAGAATATTTTTATTCTATCCTTGATTTATAAATAATTGGTAGACAATAGTGTTATTTACATAAAATGATAAAACAGGTGTTACAATATTAATAAAAAACACAAGAAATGTTATAATTACTATAGTGTTAGATAAAGTATTAAATTCAAATTACATACATTTGAAATAAATACTATATTCACATAATGTATTTTTGAGAACTAAATAACATGTGCCATTTCTGGATTGGTCAAAATGTAGACATACTTGTTAAAACGCGCATGCCCATTTATAAAACAATGTTTTGTCGTCTGGTCTTTTGCTGACGGTCTAGAAAAATCTGTAATCTATTCACTTTGAAAATACCATTGAAGTATTTTGTATAATAATTATTTTATATAAAATATTTTAAAGTAGATCGTTCACAGTTTTAGTATCGTTTCATTTTTAAAACAGAGAAAAGAATCTTCTTTTATATTCTTATATACGTATTTACATGTTGACGTATAACAGTGGCCGGCACATTCGAGTGGAATAATGCGAAAAACTATTGGTGTTATTTTCCTTCATTTGTTTACTTTATTTTATATCACTTCTGTGGAGTGTAACAAAAAGCCATCAAGTGAAGAACTCAAAGCACAACAATTTCCTCCTTGTGCAGCTTGTAAAGTTTTAATAAATAGTTTCAAAAAGGTGAGTTTGTTACTTTTTACATGTTTTAAATGATAAAAATATTATAATTAAAATTAGAATGTAGTGACAATATATTATATTATTTATGATTTATATACATAAAGACACTTCTTCTATAATTTTGTTTTTATTAAACAATTATATTTTCAGTTAAATATCTTTTCAACATGTAGTTTATATATTTACTAATATATTTTTTGTTCCATAGGGTATAGAAAGAACCAAGCGTGAGAAATTTGATGGAGGAGACAGTGCTTGGGAAGAAGATAAGTTAGGTTCATATTCAAAAAGTGAAACTAGATTAATAGAAATACAGGAACATTTATGTAAAGAAGTAGAACGTGGTAAGATTCAGTGCCATGCTTTGGCTGAAGAATTGGAAAGCAAGATAGAAGAGTGGTGGTTTCATCAACAAAATAAACATCCAGACATTTTTGATTATATATGTATTGAAGAAACTGGGCGATGTTGTCCAAAAGATCATTTTGGACCACAGTGTGTACCATGTCCAGGATTTCCAGATAAAATTTGTAACAATAATGGTAAATGTAAAGGAGCAGGTACTAGGAAAGGAAATGGTGGATGTTTTTGTGATAAAGGCTATCAAGGAGAAAATTGTTCTGAATGTGAGATTGGATTTTATGAATCTTATAAAGATGAGAATAAATTATTGTGTTCTCAATGTCATGCTTCCTGTCATGGTCCCTGTAAAGGAGCAGGACCAAAAAGTTGTGAGAAGTGTGCAAAAGGATGGCAAATGATAGATGGGCAAGGTTGTACCGATATTGATGAATGTATAAATAGTAATAAGTATTGTCCTGGCAATCAATTTTGTATTAACAAAGAAGGAGGTTACAACTGTCTAAGTAAGTTATTGGAAATACCTTTCACTGAAAATTAGAGAACTAATCTTTTTATTTAATTTAGGTTGTGATAAAGCTTGTAGTGGTTGCACTGGTGATGGTCCAGATATGTGTATAAAATGTGCTGATGAATATCATAAACAGGATAATTTATGTATAAGTAAGTTTTATAATGCATATTTAATAGAAATCCTCTAATACAGAAATTTTAACAATATAAATTATTGATATAATGTATATTAATTTATAGATTCTGATCTTTTGGGTCGCAAGAAACAGGAGAACATTGCCAGATATGCTACATATTTTGGTCTCTGTGTAGCAACATGTATTATTTTTCAAAGAAACATTTATATAGCAAGTGTAATTGGATTACTAGTTGGACTTTACATATCAGTTTCTGAATATATGATAGCTCACAGTAATCTTCAAGATACTACCACAAATTTGGATATTCTAGGTCCTGCCTAAATTTGTACATACATAATCTACCAAATTTTCTAATTTAACATGTAGTTTAATTTCATCATAAAATAAATAATTTTTTGGTATTCAGAATTTGTTTATGTCAATTATTTATTAATTTACGTTTTATCATAATTATAAAATAACTTATTAATAAAATTAATGTATATGTGTGTGTTACATGTAATATTCCTTACTTTATTGACAGAAATTTATATTTATATTAATAAAAACATTACTCATGAATGACATTACTAAAAGTACTTTAATAATTTATTCTTAAAATTTTTATGTTGCATATAAACTTATTGTGTATTTAAATTGTTTAGCTATGATTTTTTATAAATATTTATCTTCTACGAACATATCTTTATGAGTATTATACAGAAGTATTTACGTAGATTTAAGATACGTGGTAGTTGCGTGTATGTGCTTATCTATGAGTTTCTTTTTCTGTCACTAGAGGGCTATAATGGGTAAGTAGTTTCTCGCTTGAAAGAATTCACTACTGTTGTATATCAATACGGTATCTTAAATGTTTCATCGCAATATTTAAATTATGTCATATCCATATTAAATTTTTGTGAGAAGGTTGCAAAGGCGATCCAGCGCTTTTCTCCCCCCTAATTATATGTCAAAAACAATACCAAGTTATTTTCGTATCAACACAAATTTAATTTAAATTTTCTGTGCAAGTACGTTTTTATAATTTAAATACTTGCAATATAAAAATTACGAAGTCAACGCTCTCAAATCAATCTGACGCGATTAGTGGTAGTTCTCTAGTATTAAATATCTTAATAAGGAAAATTGCTTCATTAAAAAGTTTACACGATTTAGTAGAAATTTAGATATTTATTAGTATCTTTTGTTATTGTGTAACATCAACCTTACTTTTAAAAGCACTATCCATGTATTAACATACAATATAAATATAATTTCTTGCGTTACCAATCTTTTGTTGCCAGTCAAAAAACGTACTTTCTAAAATTCCTTTCTCCTCCATATTCTTTCCTAAGAAAAATTAAAAATATTTTCAATCAAATAAAATTATCATGTCAATTTCATAAATACAGCAAGACAAAATTTCAGCAATTCTAGATTTTTGTGTCTGTCGCGTACTCTCAATTAATAATTTTTTCCCTCAACATTGTTCTTCGGAATCTTAATTCCATCTACAATAAAAACAGAACAAAATCATATTCCTCCTTCAAAACCACAAAGCCCATCTCACACATTCCAAAGACTCGTCTTCAACCTCACCTTCCTTCCTCCACCCTAGTTACCAACTACCAGCGACAGAACTGATAAAAGTTACAGCGATACCATAACAATCCTCGTACACCATACAATCAATGTTTCTCTAATAAACACACCTCCAATTTCAAGCATAGAATCTGCCTTCGTAAAACTTAATAATCCTTCGATCTCCGTCGAGTTGATCCATCCTTCCACCCCCGCATCCCACCGCCATCCTCCGCATTCGATCAGTTATCTCACTCCAAACCTCCGTTTATCCTCAGAGGTGATTTCAAAGCTAACCACGTCGCTATGAATAATTATTATATCAACGAGAGTGGAAATATTCTATACCGACATTTCTTCCGCAACCCTCATCGGTTGATCTCTCCTAATGATTTCACTTTTTACAAGAGAGATCGTACTCCATCCTCCACAATAGGTTTATTTATGGTGCAACGTAACAGCGATCTTGGATGCGAGATCATCGATGGTTTGATGACACAGCATCGTTCAGTGCTCCTTGACGCCACGCGTTGTGCGCTCCATCCCTCTAGCTGGTTACGTTCCGTTGCCTATGAAGCCTACTCTCGATACTCGAACAGCCTTCAGCTGAATTATCGCCTAGGAAATGAAAATGAGATCGACCCTTGCATTCAAACATTAGAGTCTCTTGTTACCGCTTGCTGTAAGCTTCGTCCTTCACGGAACCCAAATCTGGTACTGATTTTGTGGACGACGCGGTATTAAAGTCTTATATCAATAATATAAAGCGCGTCGGGAAAAAGTGTAAGAATAGAATCTTCAATGTTGTGAAAATCTTATCGAATTTCTTGCGAGGGAAATTATCTAGGGTAACTGTTGTCGGAAGGGAATCTTGGAGTGCGCGTTTAAAATTAGTTGATAGAGATGAGCCCATCTTTGGTGTTACTGCGAAATATTAACAAGTGACAATACTACCTTTTCATTGTTAATATATTAATACTGGAGAATTATTACTGATCGCGGAAAGGCGATGATTTAGAGGAAACGTTTGCTATCACTCGAAGAATATTCGTAATTTATCTTCTATTCGTCATTAAGTTCTTCTTAGGAGTTATTAAGCAATTCTTATGTTTATTAGTTGAGAATATAACATTGTCAAAGTCAAAGAGGAATTTAATGAGTAGTTCTAACGAGGTAGATACATTTATTCGAAGGTACCAAAATTGTGAAATTCCTGGTTCTGATAAGATAGCATTCAATATGAAATACTCTTTTGAAAAAGTATAACTCTGGTACATTTGTAATAATTAAATCTCTATTTCTGTAAGTATTCTACACTTAGAAAAATTTGGATATCCGAATTCGAAGACAAAGGTTTTTATTATTGTCTTCCTCCGCCAGATGGCTATCTGAACTTATATTTTCTCGCAGGTGAAATCGGATTTCTCGTTTTATACATTGAAAGATTGTCATGTGAAAAGTTGCAATATTCAAAACATATCCATATTAAAAATTTTTGCAATCGTTTGTTATCATGACATACGTCATAAATGATTAACAAAAAAAAGTATTATAACATGTTAATGCTGTGTACTACAATTTGAATGCATTCATTAACAAATTTAATATCACGAAAATGGGATTGTAGATATAAACCCACCAATAAGTTTCAATAGTTTCTTAGAAAAATGTTTTAACCTATCAGTAGTACTTCACTGTTCAATTGTATGTATTGATAAGTAAACAATGTACTTAGTGTCATGTTCTAATATAACAAATTAAAAGAATAAGTAACTGATGTACCATGCAATAAGATAACTTCGCTATCAAACAATTTAATGATAAGAATAAAGGTAAGATATATTTATAAAAATACTTACAATAAATTCTATTAAAAGTTAAGCGACTTATATTCTTTATAAATATTAACAAAATTGCAAACACTGTTATGAATTCAGGGATCGTAATACGTCACTTTATAATTACTTCACTTCACAAGATAATATTTGAATATAAGCAACATAGTATATTTAGGTACATACACTCCTAATACTGATAGAAATTATTTAAAAATATTAATGTCTAACTTTATTCAATACGATGAAACAAAGTCGTTAGTTATTATTTGAAATTTTCGAGTATTCGTGGGTTAGTACGCTAAATGATGCGTAGAGGGCGATTATGACTCGTAGGTTTCTCGAAAGAAAAATTACGTCCATTACATGATATATATAAAGTACAATTAAATACACTTTGCAATACTCAATACAATATATCCATATTTTAATTTTTAGAAAGTGAGTGCGGTTTATCGCTCCTTTTCATAATATAATATAAAACAAAAATTCTTATATTTTCATCAGCTATTACATAATATTGTAGACAAATAAATTATTAGTATACAGAAAATTATATGTGTTTAAGATTAATGAATAAGTTTAGTAATTATTAAATATTTTGTTGCCACTTCAATTTTAGTTTAAGTTTTAATATATAACACAATTATAATTTATAAAATTATTACATGACTTATTTCAAAAGTTATTTCCGTTTCATCGATAAAAACATAAACAAACGAACAACGTAATGATAATGATATAAATGATATTCAATGCTATTGAATTACAGATAAGTCTCTTCGATGTATTACCTTCTTTCACTTTTCCGAAAGTCTAATATTGCCATATTTTTAAAGTTTGTGCCAGACTAAATACTGCAGATGTGTAGATCGCGAAGGCAAACTTATGGACCAACTTAATTTCAACGCGTATATATATTGATACCTATTGTTCTGAAAGGGGAATTAAAGATTTTATTGTACAATATTTCTTATTTAAGAATTCTGAGTAGATAGTGATCTTTTTCAGTGATTTTTTATTGTAGTTTCATATTTTTAATATATAAACTGTCAGAAAAAAGCAGTAGTAGGAGAGCAAGTTTGTGCCCGCTCTAAAGGTAAGATATTTTTATAAAAATACTTAGAATAAATTCTATTAAAAGTTAAGCGACTTACATTCTTTATAAATATTAACAAAATTGCAAACACTGTTATGAATTCAGGGATCGTAATACGTCACTTTATAATTACTTCACTTCACAAGATAATATTTGAATATAATCAACATAGTATATTTAGGTACATAGACTGCTAATATTGATAGAAATTATTTAAAAATATTAATGTCTAACTTTATTCAATACGATAAAACAAAGTTGTTAGTTATTATTTGAAATTTTTGGATATCGTGGGTTAGTAAGCCGAATGGTGCATAGAGGGTGATTATGACTCGTAGGTTTCTCGAAAGAAAAATAATGTCCACTACATGATATATAAAAAGTACAATAAGAATCTTTGCAATACTTAATATAAAATATCCATATTTTAATTTTTGCAAAGGTTGCAGGAATGTTATTTCCAGCCATAATCTAATATAAAACAAATGTTCTTATGTTTTCTTAAGTCATTACATAATATTGTAGACAAATTAATCATTAATATACAGAAAATTATCTGTGTTTAAGATAAATGAATAAGTTTAGTAATTATTAAATATTTTATTGCCATTTCAGTTTTAGTTTAAGTTTTAATACATAACACAATTATAATTTATGAAGTTATTACATAAGTTATTTCAAAAGTTATTTGCGTTTTATCGATAAAAACATAAACAAACGAACAAACGTAATGATAATGATATAAATGATATTCAATGCTATTGAATTACAGATAAGTCTCTTCGATGTATTACCTTCTTTCACTTTTCCGGAAGTCTAATATTGCCATATTTTAAAAATTTTTGCCAGACTAAATACTGCAGATGTGTAGATCGCGAAGACAAAC